AAAATAAGTTTTTAAGAGCGAAAATTGTTTTCTAACAAAATTTATCAATTATCGATTACAATAAATTGAAAAATGTAAGTACATGTAAATTTCATGTTACGTCATCATTGTTCAAAATTCAGGGCTTAAAATTCCATTTATTCAAACCGTTAGAATGATCAGCGACAGAGCAGTCTCTCTTCAAATTCCAGCAGTAACCAGCCATCATGAGTGCATCCCAACATCCCTGATACCGGGGTTCCGTCTCTTTCATGCCCTGATGGAATCTCTCCCCCTGTTCGTCCCCATCGATTCCAAATTCTCAGGAAATCGATCCATACGTGAGAATAAATAATGCATTTTGATGCTTATGTTGTATCTGAGGTTTCTGAAAGTTGTCAGCATATTGATGACAAGTTCTGCGGAGTTCCTGGCCTTGTTGTTGCCAAGAAAGATCTTCACGACCAGAACAAAAGCCTTCAATGCTTCTAATTCCACTACCTATATTGAGTTTTCAAACTCTCGATCTCTGACGAGCTGACGAATTTGAGGACTATCAATAATGGCAGCTTTCAATTCCATTGTCATTCCTGGAAAATCCTGGCACATGTAAGTGAAGCAGCCATCAACTTTGTCCTGAGCTTTGGTGAACATCTTGATCGAGCTGAACTTGATGTGCAGCAGTGGGAAAAGTATCCTGTCCCTATCCACCAGAGGCTTATTGATGACGTCTGCTGCTCTGCAAGGTATCAATTCCTCTCCAACAGAATAGGTTCTTTTTCGTGTAATGCTGATCAGTGTCGTCCATACTATCCCATCATGCACAGAAAAGCATGGATACTTGGTGAACCTTGACTGTTGTCCCAACAAAAGTTCAACATCTTCAGGTCAACGCGAATAAACCACTCATGCTGATTATAAAGAATTTTCTCCAGAACATACTTCACTGCTTCATATTTTTCCTTCAGTGTGGTCGAATGAACGAGGGGTACAGAGGAAAACTGGTTGCCATTGTGCAGCTAAAGACCTTTCAATGATCGTTTGTCGCTGTCAATGAACAGACACCAATCTTTGGGTACGTACTGTGGCACTCCAATTTTGTGCAATATCTGTACAGTACACCAAGTCCTTCTCTTCAAAAAAGAAATGGAGTTATTCTTGATGCCTGTTGCGATAGAAGGTGATGTCAGAGAGGAGGGTTTTTCCTTCAATCTCGATGCCAACAGTTTGGCAGAGGACTTTTAGAAGCTGAGATTGTGGATGAGATCATCATTTTGTTCCTTTTGGGAAAAAAGATGCGGATCATCATTGTCAAAAAACATTTCTTCTTCTTATTCTTCTTATTCTTCTTCTAGAACACTTGAGAAATCTTTCTCACTAATGTCGGGATGTTCTTCAAAGACAGGTATTGGAATTTTATCACAGTGAGCTGCAGGACGACGTGCTGATTGAAGATTAGGATACCTGAGGCTTCTCCGGTTCTTTCTATTGATTCCAATCTCATCAATAGCACAGAAGTAGCAGTCAGTGATATGGTTTGTTGCCTCCCCCCAGTCCATGGGAATTCCAAATTTCAGACATCTCTTCTTGCCCTTGGTCCACCATACTCGGTACATGTCTTACATGCCACATGTGGCACCCAAACTTGATCCTAGTCACCATACTGCTGAGTCGTTTCTTGATAGTGTGTGTGTAGAAGTGAATGTCTTGAATATCAGCAGAGTGACATGGACCTTAGTAGAATCTGAGAGACCCTGTCATTGAGGCCAAACATCGTGATTTTTATACTGTTATCCCTGAGAAATTGGCCCCTAAATTATATAACTTTAGTTATTCCTAATTTGCCCTAAAATGTGACATGGTAGGCTTACTATATTTTAGCAGTATACCTAATCTATAATGACTAATAAAATAGTATGTCTGATTTATATTCTATGGTTTTGCCATTGTACAGTATAATTGGTGTTTTTTCAGATGTAAACACTTTCTTGCTTGTTGCAGGATTATAAATATTTTGGAGGTCTGTTTTAATCATTGTGAAACTGTATTTGACTGAAAATACTTCTGATGGTTTAAAATTAATAACTTTAAAATTAACATAATAATTAGTTTTATTGTGTGAAATATGTTGCACATTTAGATATTTTAATGGACATGACAACAGAAACAAAAACATTAAAAAAGCATGTAGCCATAGCTCAAAAAGTTGACTTGATTGAGCAAAACCAATGTGATTTTTGGATTCAGCAGTTAAAAATTGTCTTAAATCAGCTAAAAATATTTAGACAATGTATTTGGTGTTGACCAGATAGATAGATAGATAGATAATGAATGAACAGACCGAGACAGATAGATAGATAGATAGATAGATAGATAGATAGATAGATAGATAGATAATCAATGAACAGACCGAGATAGATAGATAGAAAATGAATAAACAGACCGAGGTAGATAGATAGATAGATAGATAGATAGATAGATAGATAGATATGTATGCAATGTTATCGGTGTCTCTAAACATACATTTCAACATCTGCATAAATATTCCATTTGCAACTGCGCTGTTAATGTAGGTTTTATTTCGCCTTCATCGATCAAATTTTGTGATGAACAGCAAGTATTTTTTTTATCAAACTACCCAATGTTGATCTTAGTACGGCACAGTTAAATGAAGTAAATAGTGGATAGGAAGATTGTGATGCGCCATTTTTTGTTTTCAATTGAGAAATCTTGCCTAATCTGAAAACTTGTATTCGAAAGTCCGAACACTGGCACCGATGAGAAACACCCAACTATGTCAACCACAAGGTAAGCTAGTGGTGACTGATAATGATGAGCGAATTCTTTTAATCAAGGTAATAATCTAATCATGTTTTCCTTTCGAAAGTAGACAGGCTAAAGTTAGGTTAGATTTCGACGCATGCCGTTATGACTCTCATTGTATTCTGCCGATTATGAATATCAGTCCCTACAAAATTATATCAGGAAAGAAGAAAAAAAGGAAAGAAAAATAAAATGAAGAAGAGAAAGAAAGAAACAGAGGAGGAGAAAGAAAGAGACAGAGGAAGAGAAAGAGCTGATATGGCACACGTCATGATTACAATTTGTTTTATGAAAGAGCGAAAAGAAAAACATCCTCGACAACAAAGTTAAAGCCACAGGTAAACGCAAATGCCGACCACCTGGCTGCACGTTGACGTGTTCAAATGTCACGTGGATATATGTCAAAAGGTAGCTCTCTGTTGAATTTTAATTAATATCCCATGATGCCTCGCTGACAGGTAACATCATGAGTGACAAGTTGACTTAAGACATTTTTGTAGATGGTTGATCTCTCTTTAGCGACTGAAGATTTAAAATCTTTTGGTCGTCTACAGTAGAGTTTATCGTGAATGATATAGCTGGGACGACTGATTGAAGAATCCCTTATTAATTTGTCCTTATGTCATACTTGCTTACATCTAACCTGATCTGTTCAGACACACGGCAAATATGGCATATTCAGTTTCGGAACTGTTTTTATTTAAAAGAATAAAAATGCTTTCAGTAAGTTCAAATCTATTTTTACCGTTTTATGACTTCGAGAATGACATGACCTTGAGAATGCTTTATGACCTTGAGAATGATTTTTCGTTTCTAAATGACATCTGATGTCGAGCGACGATCATTTGTAATGTCTCTTAACATGGCGTTTTTTCATCTTATTTTTTTCTCGCAGAAATTAACTTAAAGAACTTTTGAAAATCGAATAAAAGTCAAAGTCGAACGAATTATAATAAAAAGTAAATAAAATCTATCAACACATACTTACAAACGCACATACACACACATACATACGTAATCGCACACGTACAGATACCTACACATGTAATCGCACACACACACACGCACGTAATCGCACATACATACACACACACTTAATCGCACGCACACACACGTAATCGCACAAACACCTACACAAACATAATCGCACACAAAGACATGCCTAAACACGCATACGTAATCGCACACAAACATACTTATTCACACATACAAACACATACACAAGCACACACACATAATCGCACACACGCATAAACATACACTTAATTCCACACACACGCATACGGACACACGTAATCGGATACAAACACATACATAAAAACACACACGTAAAAAACTCACACACACACAAACGTATTCGCTCATGCATACACACTTAATCACACACACACATACACACACAATTAATCGCATACACACCTACATACACACGTAATCGCACACAAATATATATATAAACAGACACACGTAATCGCATACACATACACCCTTTATCACACAAACACATACGCACACACGTAATCGTACATAAACATATACATTAATACACACATGTAATCGCACACACACACACACACACACACACGTAATCACAGACACGTACACTAATTTAGGAATCGGAGAGCCGAGTTCGAATTCCAGTCGAATTCATTACATTCACTTACGTGCTAATATGAGGAAATAGCTGGACAGACCGAGTTCAAAGCCTAAGATGGCAACTGGTCTACGGCAGAAAGAAATGGCAACCTACTGCGGGAAAAAACCTGCCTCGTCAGTCATGTATCAAAAGATACATGATCGCCTAATCGAGTATCACATATGGCACATCACTGACTGGCATTTATTTTCAAAAAAAGTATGAAAATAAAAGCTAAACATGATTTTAAAAACATCTATTATTCATTAATATTATTCAATAATACTAATATTAATATTAATAATATTAATATTAATCAATAATACTAATGTTAATATTAATAATATTAATTTTAATCAAAATATCGGTCTCATTTACCGACTGAGAAAGATGCAAATTTTTTATTGTTGCCAGCAGTCGGTTTTCGTATCTAGGTAAAAGTCACAATTTTGAATGCTTATTTTCAATTTAAGTTGGCTTATCACAGCTAAAAGATGAGCACAGAAAAATTTCCATTGACCTCATAGGTCTTTGATATGTACAACGTTTGACAAATAGGTTTTATGACTTTGATTAAATCTTATTTAAAGGAATTTCATGGCTTGTCTTCGAGAAAGCTTTGCACGTATGTTGTTAGTTGATGAAATCGAATAGGGAACAGGAAGGTTCTGACAGAGAGGCCACCGTTAATATCTGGCAACTGAATTTTGAATTTTTTATGGCGCTACATGTTTTTCTTTTTGTTTTTGTTTTTTTTTTTTTCCAACCCTGATTCTGTGGTTTTCTTTAGAAAGGAATGTAACCGGGAAGACTTCAAGCCGCCATGTCTTCCTGTCAGTAGCAGTTGTTTCCTGCTTGTGACTAACGATGTCACGGAATAAGAGTCTGGTGGAAAACATCTTTGTTTCTCTTCCATGTCGTCCCTCTATATGCCCAGCGTAGATTAACCTTTTTCAGCATAATCCTCAGCCACTGACAGTCTTGAGGACTTTAAAACTATACAGAAACAACGCTGTATTTTATTCTAGGAGGTGACCTTGACTTTTACATCAAGATAGCATAACAGCTTTATGGATTTTTACTTTACTGAGAAACGGAAAAGTGTCATTAGAAACCAAGAAAAGAGTACGGGATTGCTAAGTGTTATGTATCCTCTTATGCTGGACAATCTTCCCACGAATGAGGAGAAAACAGAATGCAGCAGAAATGGGATTCTACAGAAGGATGCTAAAAAAATCAATGGACGGAGCGATTAACCAACAATGAAGTATTAAAGAAAATGGCGACAGAATGAATACTTTTACTCAGAATCGGCAAATACATCTGAAATTACTTGGACACATAATGAGGAAGGAGGACTTAGAAAACTTAACCCTCACAAGACATATTGAGTGTAAGAAAGATAGGGAAAAAGGATCTGGAAAACTTAACCGTCACAAGACATATTGAGGGTAACAGAGATAGGGAAAAGCAGCGAGCCAGTTACCTGACGAACCTATGTGAATTGATGGCGGAACAAAGTGCAGCAACCTTAACAAAGGGATTAAAACTTGTAACAACCCATACACAGAAAGTTGTGGAGAGGCATTATCGCCTATGTCCTGAAGGGATGCGGCACATAGAAGAAGAAATTTTGGCACAGATCATTTTGTTAGCCGTTGTCAATTTCTTTTTCTGTCTATGTTGCTAGCAGATTATAGGGAAAGGAATGTAACATTCTTTTTGACAGAATCGAACAACGGGCGATGGAAGACAAGTAATACTCTTGTTGCGTTACAGCTTGTTATAGGCTTTCATTTTTTTTTCAACTGACTTCTAAAAATAGGTTTTCTTTGATCTTTGCAATGCGAGATGTGGTGCTGGGCTGACCCTGTATGAGTAATTTGAGTCAATGTTTTCTGATGAGCTCAACTGCAGTCACTGTGTTAACATGAATTCGTTTTAGACTAAGTTGCTCTTTTTACGCTTGCAATGGTTGATGTCGTTTTCACTATCAATCTGTTTCGATGTCATACTAAAAATATTGAAAATAAAAACGCAATTTTAGCAAATAGGTATGAATTTGAGAAGTCGCTGCCATGCCTGACCTCACTGAAATGTGCCTCATCAAGTTGGATAATCATGGTAAAAGATTTTGGCGTGCGACCAAGCTTGGCCCAGATTTGTTTTTACAATACCCTAGTATTCTACTTTGTTACAGTCATGTGCCATACGTGATACATGGTTAAACGATCATGTATCTTTCGATACATGACTGATGAGGCAGATCTTTTTTTTTTTTTTTTTTGCAGCTGTAGGTTGCCATTTCTTTCCGCGGTAGACCAGTTGCCATCCAAGGCTATAGAACCCGGTCTGTTCTGCTATTTACTCATATCTTGGGGGTGGGGGGGTGGAGAAGAGGATTCATACCTTTCCCAAGGATATTAGCACATCAGTTAGTTATGTGCTATGCGTGACACATGCTTAAGCGATCATGTATCTTTCGATACATGACTGACGAGGCAGATTTTTTTTGCAGCTGTAGGTTGCCATTTCTTTCTGCAGTAGACCAGTTGGTATCCAAGGCTATAGAAGCCAGTCTGTTCTCCTTTTTCCCCATAGCTGGGGGGAGAAGACGAGGATTCATACCTTTTTAAAGGATTAGCACATCAGTCATTCGACTGCCATTCGTGATACATGCTCTCCGACGATCATGTATCTTTCCGCTACATGACTGACGAGGCAGATTTTTTTGCAATGTAGGTTGCCATTTCTTTCTGCAGTAGACCAGTTGGTATCCAAGGCTATAAAACCCGGTCCGTTCTGCTATTTACTCATATCTTGGGGGAAAAGAAGAGGATTCATACTTTTCCCAAGGGTATTAGTACGTAAGTGAATGTTATGGATTTGACTGGGATTCGAACTCGGCTCTCCGATTCCTCGTTTTCTTTGAGTAGACTTCAACAAAAGTGACGTACCGTTTGTTTTGTTTTTAACACTTTTCCTGTACCTATCAATTGTGGTTTGATTTGTACTAAATTCACACTGTCCCTCTGGGAGGTGATCAATCTTTGGTATCACTTTGTTTATTTTCAATTCTCGCAAGGATTTTTGTCTGTAAATGAAAGCAGGAAAACTCCCATCAGTGTAATTCGGCTTTTCTGTTTTTGCAAAGGCTTATCATGATTGCATCTTTTAACTTCTGAAATATTTTAACGAACTTCCAGAAGCAGACAAGGGATTCATATCGACTTTGCAGACAGAACACCGACGCCATCTTCTCTCAGGAATGACACCATAGCAACACCTTCGGCTGATCAATTACTTTTGAAATTTATTGGGATTTGGGTGATGACAGATTCGCACAGTACACGGCTACAAGTTAATAGCATCAAGTAAAGTTATTTACAAAGTTTTGTTTAATCTGGCACAAGGTCAGTATATTGCTGCGTGACCACATATATGCGAACATTATATATAATAGTTTATTAATGAAAACACTATTTGTGTATCTATAAATGCATATAAGAATTATGTGCCTATATGTTTTCATACACGAAACGTAAAGTAATTTAAGCTATTCATTTTTCTTTCAATCCGCCAATAGACATCCCTATTTGTTTACAAAGAGTAAAATTAACGCCTACCGGCCTACACCATCGAAAATCTTAGTAAAAAAAAATATACCTCTTGGTAAGAATCAATAAATTTCTTTTTTGGAGGAAAACAACTGAGACAGACACGCCATATCCTTTTCAGACACGAGAGCCCTTGCAGCAAGATAAGGCTCAAATACACTTCTCAAAGAAATGCCCATGTCTAGTTGGAACTTTGTCGATATCTCATAAGCATTAAAGGTATACGTAGTCAAGAAGTGGTTTCCCACGAAAAGTGATCTCAGATTCGGGATTCTTGTCAAGAGTTACATTTTCTTTAATACGACTTTCAATGATCTAGGCCGGCAGACACTAATTTCACGCTTTATAAATGAACGGCGATGTCAACTCAAACAATAAAATAACGCTTGCAGTATTATGAAATAATGTGTGGAGATATACACATATGTATTTATAAAGAAAAATTACGAAAGCGTTAACTTTTCCACTTCATCAATTGCTTCTCCGCCCAAACGTTTTACGACTTTCAAAAAACTCACAAACTTCCATCGTTATAAAGTATGATAGAAGGTGTCACGTGACTGCAGTCTGAACGACGATTGGCTAATCGGTTATTTTTCATGCAGCCTCGTTTAAATGAGATTTCAATTTGGACAAGATTTAATCGGCCGTGAATTTCTTTTTGGTGGGACGACGATAAAATTTTTCTGCTGTGTGATTACAGAAAATCGTCTGCTTCACCCTGGGAGTTTTAGAGAAGTTCATCACCACAAAACAGACACGCCCATATCAACCTAAACAAAAGACAACAATTTGAAACTATTATTTCCGTCAAACCAACTGAGAGGTGATTGCGTTTTTCTTTTAAAATCACTTTATGAAAAGTAATCAAATAGATAAGATTGCCGAATATAAAGAGTAGAAAAATGTTTTATAGATTCTTGTTGATGACGGCATTTGCGTAACTTCACAATGTATGAAAGGAAAATAGCACCAGGGGCTGACGCCAGTCATCTTGGTGTTTTGTTATTAGAAATAAAATAATGATCCACACAAATCAATAATACTCTAAACTTTAAATAAGTTTACTTGCGACCATTTAAATACAAACTGAAAAACAAACTGATAGACAGATTGCTATGAACAGACTGAGATAGATAGATAGATAGATAGATTGGATAGATATGTATTGCTATGAAATAGACTTTTCTAGATAACAGTAGACATAGATAGATTTAGATAGATAGATATTTCTAGATAGATAGATAATTTTTACATAGATAGATATAATAGAATTTATACAATAAATAGTTATATCAGAATGAACTAAGATAAATTGATAGATAACAATAGACATAGATAGATAGATAGATAGATAGATAGATAGATAGATAGATAGATAGATAACAATAAACATAGATATATACATAGATACCTAGATAGATAAGAATGAACTAAGATAGATAAAAATAGACATAGATAGATAGATAGATAGATAGATAGATAGATAGATAGATAGATAGATGAACAAACTGAGATAGATAGATAGATAAATAAATAACACTACACATAGATATATATAGATACCGAGATAGATAAGAATAAACTAAGATAGATATTTAGATAGATAAATAGATAGATAAGAATAGACATAGATAGATAGATAGATAGATAGATAGATAGATAGGCTTAGATATGCACAAATCTAAGAAAGCAATACGAATACAAACAAACAAAATTGGGTTACGGCTCTCTAATATTTTTGTCTGTGTTTCTGTAATAGATAAAAAAAAAAATTTCGAATGGCGATTGTCTATTTGCGAGCACATAAAGCATTATTAGGGTCAAGAAAAATGACGTCAGCGAAATCGCTTTCCTTTCGAAAGATGGACACAGGATGTGTGTCTGCAATCCTCGGCTGCTTCGACGATGGCGCTGAATATTGTAGACTTATGAATGTTGCCATATTTTGACATAACTTTACACATGACAACCCAAGCGCGGTGACTGAGCGGCATTTCCATTTAATCAAAGCCTTACAGAAGCAGTGTCCATTCAGTCAATGTCTTCTAGCAGAAGGCACACGCACTGATCCGTTCAGTTTATCGTCTATAAATATACAAAGCTTGGTGTATATTATTACTTTTGCAAACGGGGACATGACAGACACACTTACAGGTTACATCGGTGGAGTCGACGAGTGAAGGTTGCAAGTGGAAACAGCAGTATTTATAAGCAGGGTTCGGGCTACAAAATAAGCATTAAATCCAGTTCCGCACATTTAATGGTCGACACAAACGCATAGACCCAGAGTGTGCACAAATATAAGCACTTATCGCTAATCGCGTCACGAGAGCCGTAAACCATTAGGGTTGTAAAGTCATTCCATGTACTGCTGCCATGTACTGCTGCCATAGCAACAATGGTGAGGCTAAGGCAAGATAGTCTAACGGAGAACATCTCTCTTCTTGAATTCAGAGTTTACCTTCTCCTACGTTGGTTGCCATCTCAAGAAACAAGAGCCTAGTGAAGCCTACTATTTAATCTATAGTTTTTATCTTTTTCCAAGGGTATTCATGAGAATGTGAACGCATCGAAGGCGGCCGGAATTCGAACTCGGTTCGATGAGTTGTCTTTCCTAGTCGGAATTCGCACATACGATATCTGTTTTATTCCCAGGGAAACAGTGTGTGCGTACGTGCGCATATATGGGCGTGTACTTCTGCGGAAGCAAGTCCTGTAGAGGTGACAGGGACGAAAAAAGAGACAAAGAAAAAAAATGAACAGTCAAGATTACAGGAATTAAATTTTTAAAGGTCAGAAAATGCGAAGAAAATCTATTTTCGTTGTCTATATTCCTCTGCTTAAGATTTAAAAAAAAAAAAGTCAATGTTTAAAGTTGTAACCAAGTGGCGAATTTGAAGAATTCTACTACAAATCGGCTGGTGAAGAAATTCATTTTCTTTCGACAATTTCTAAACGTAATCACAAGATTTTTTTTTTTTTTTTTCAATTCCTCTTACTTTGCATCCAATGAAAAAATCAAAACGTTTTAAAAATGGAAAACATTTAACTAACAATACTGTCCTTTAGTAGCCTCATTTTTTAAATAAAAAACTAAATTAGAGCAGATGTCATCCTTTGACGGAACAATATATATATATATATATATATATATATATATATATAGAAAGACTCTTCGGCAAAAGCGAATCGAATGACTGTCGGTCACTGTGTGAAAATTCACCTACATCCTGCCGTGCGCCAACCTAATTCAGTCGGGTTTCGTTCCTAGCTAGAGGCAACCGGATGTCTAGCCACACTGAAGAGCTACGAAACAGTCTGTCTGTGGATCATTTATATATATATATATATATATATATATATATATATATATTTATATATATATATTTATATATTATTTCAGGAAATTTCTGATTGTCAGGCCGAAACAGAGCATTTACTTAAATTTGTACCTATAAAAAAGAATGTATACACATAAAAATGTCTTAAAATAATTTTTGGACTTTGTCCATTTCATAGTATATATATATATATATATATATATATATATATATATATATATATACCGGTGTAACAGCAAAATTGTCCAAATCGTGTAACAGGAAAATTGTTCAATTATGAGATTAAGTTTGAACCGTTGTATCTTAGAAATGATTAAAGATGTCTTACTGGAATTCGCCGAGATTTTTTCTAACACTATTGCACTCTACTTTGAGCAGTAAGAATGTATAATTACTCTCCAAGATTAACAGGAGTATCATGATGAAATCGATCATAAACGAAAATGACCTGTTCATCATTAATTAATCATCGCTAAGGATCTGAAGCTCATGGAGGATTGAAATAAAGTTCATACATATATATATATATACATATATATATTCCAAGATCCTTTTCCAACTTATTCAAGATTATCTTTGCCCTCTCTAACCTTCTAACATTCTGTCCTGGCGTAACAAGGTACTTCACAGTTTTCACGTACCATTTCATTTTCAAGTCTTTTGCCACTGCTCTTTGGACTGTTATAGCTGAAAGTCCTCTCTCACGTAACAAACGTCGTATGGATTGAGTTGGATCTTTTCTAATTGATCTCTTTGCCTGTAAGTTGAAATGATGATCCCTCTTCCTGTTGTGACCTCCTGATCCAGTTTTCCTCTCTACTGTTCCTTCTTTTTAAAACTTATCCACCGTTCTCTTGATGGTTCTTTCTAGCTGAATAACTCAAATGGCTTTTCAGTGATTCTTGCCATAAACGGTGTCAAGATGGCTAAACCTCTTATCTGAAAGCCTGGAAAAGAGAAACTCACTTTGTTTAGTGGTCTAAAATGCTCGACAAGCGTACATATAATTTTAAAGAAAAATAGAATTCTTTTCATTTTTCATTCAAAATACTCAAATTTTAGGAATACATTTTCACAGCGTCGCCCACGTGACTACAACGTGACCATGTTTTAAACGGAGCGCTGATCTTATAAAACTATCAGTTATCTGTTTGGATATGTCTTGTTCTTATGTACATCGTCTTTGTCATGTTGTATTGATAATGTTATAATTTATGAATATGTCCTGAAGATGGTTTATTAGACCGAAACGTCCGATGTTGACATATTAACATTAAAACTGCATAATTGTATATAAGGATTTTTTTTTTTTTTTTCGTATCTATTTTTCTTCATACTGTCGGATTTATATCCATATATTTATATATATATATATATATATATATATATATATATATATATATATATATATATATATATATATATATATATATATGTTTCATTAAAGACGACAACCAAGGCACTGCGATTAAGTTTTTTTTTTTAACATTTCTTGTGTTTTCCTTGTTAGAAAAGAAATAAACTCATAAAACAAAAAAATTCAAATAAATCTACTATAAAAAATTTAAAACAGCTATATTTGACCCGAAATCAAAAAAAACGAACAAATTAATTATCTACTATAAAAAATTCAATTTAAAACAGCTACATGCTTATCCAGACGCCTTTTATCCTATCAAAAATAAACCCAAAACACACAGACAAACTTACTAGACTAAATCAAACATACTACAACGAACGAACCTCATCTATCTTTTAAAATAATTGAAGCCTTAATAATAAAACAGAAAACGCCAACACTTAATAATATTAACTCCGCACACAGCCGGAATGTGCAGTGTTCGGAAAATAAAACATTACTTAAATGTCCCTAAATGTAAGAAACATTACCCATCTAAAAATAATTACAAATTACATTCATGAATTAGATTCAAACTGATAAAGATGTTACTTTAAAGGGCTAAATAAATCCAGACTTTTAATATATATATATATATATATATATATATATATATATATATATATATATCAAACGTTAGCTCCATTGAATAGAACACATTTAAACACATCTAGCAACCTGTGCATTCAAACTTAAACAGAAAATCCATTTTTATAAAATAAAACGTAGAAACGCCCAGTACTAAGTAAAAAAATGGAATACTTTATGCTTCTATATACATAACCTCATCTAATGGGTAAAAAATATATATATATAAATATAATTATATATATATATATATATATAAAACAGAAATATAGATTCCCTTTCCCAAGAGTATTAGTACGGAAGTGAATGTAATGAACTCGACAACAACTCTTACCATGATACCTCAATCCGACCGCTATTTATTACTCCTCCGCGGCTTCTTATGGGATCTATAGGTAAATAGCAGGGCAGGCTGACTCCTATAGACTTGGGTGGCAACCTGCCTAGAAGAAGGACATTTCTGATTTTTGCAGTGTTCGTTTGAAAATAAAAACATGGTTTTTGCCTACTTTCAAATTTCCCAAATGTAAGTTTGTTTCTAAATACAAGCTGGACTTCCATAAAAATGAAAAATATATATATATATATATATGATGAAAATTTTGAATGTATGCATATTTATTGATTAAATTGATTCAAATAGAGCATATGAAATAAAAATTGATGTTACTTTTTAAAAGCAATCTTCACGGGCCGGTTAGAGGTGCATTATGGGTAGGTATACTGTATTATTTCAACGTTCATTGAGTTGAAATAAATTATTAAAATGGAACCTTAAAATGGAGTTTTTGCCCATTTTTTTGTTAGCTTTTTAATTATTTATATATTTGTTAATAGTTGTTGATTATTATTATTACGTTTATTATGAATGCTTTCGTTTAAAAAGTTTATTATTTACTGACATATTTATTGATTTAGATTTTTCATATATTAATTATTATTGATTTATTTTATTTTAATTCGAAAAAACTCAGCGTCTGCATTTTAAGATGAGTTCGTTTATTTAGTAATTTGTGTTGGTATGGGTAGCTATAATTATAGCTATTTTCTCCTTCAGACAGAGTTTACAGTTTCTGGATTTATTGTTTGTACGCCCACCGATTTGGCCTTTGTTTTTAATGTCCCATATATATTTAGAAAGCATTACTGTTCTATTTACTATTTGTAAAGGATTTTTAAACCATATCCATTTATATTGTCCATTATCTGTTGATTTTGGTAGTAATCTATATTACATTGTTCTGCGTTAAATTGCGTTTACATCTTTGCTCTGCAATAAATTTTTTTATTTATCTTAAATTTTGTTTTTTTACTTTTTGTAATATCTTGTATTGATGGTAACTTTTTTAAAACTATATTCCAATCCAAAAGTTCTACTCAATAATAACCCTTGAATAATTTCCTATCACCTGACCGTTTGAATAATACAATCTAATTCAACTGAACTTTCACACCATTAATATTTATATATATATATATATATATATATATATATATATATATATATTATTATTATTATTACGACAAAAATTCAAAATGACTTCATGTGGGTCAACCGGCGCAACTTTGCGCCAATCTTCGGTTTCGAATCTGGATTTTAGAATTTGGTAGATA